CACCCACACCCCCCCACCCCCTCCCCCCCCCCACACCCATTCACACAAAGACTAGATAGGATTAATATGAAAATCGAAAATTGATATGAGAAAATATTCTATGAACAGCTCTTTGATGGAGACTTGACAATAAATTGTTCAACATTATTTTTCAAGATATAATTTCAAAATATAAAAAATTTTACAACACATTAATTATGTAACGAACATAATTACTGTTACTGCACTTTTACATATATTGACTTTCTTCGTTCGATTCTTATTGTCTTATTTTCTTTTTCAACAGCGCACATGCACGAGAAAAAAAAAAGGTAAACTTGTTTTTTTTCATATTGGTCTTCATAAGAAATAGAAAAGGTTGATCAAGTCGATAAAAGCTTCATTTCAAATAATTAACTGTCATAAAGTAGGCATAATTCATGAGGGCCGGTGAGAGGACTTTTGTACACCTATAGTAGGTGTAAGTGAAAAAAAAGCAACCCACGCATGTTCTCTTTCGAGTTACCGATTATAATTCATTCTGTATCGATGAGTAGATGTCTCTTATGCTTGGAAACTTCCAACAAGATCAATGAAAGAAGTGAAAAAGAATGTACTTGTTGACTCTTGTTGCGTGATTAACAGTAAATAGACGATAAAAGCATATGAGAACGAGTTAAAAAATTTGCGATAATTGACCAGGTGATTAGTTTTTCTATGTAATGGGAAACAAAAGTAGGCTATTCATTTTATCTAATCGGATAAAATTAGATTTATTTCTTGAAATAAAGGTTCGAACAACCGCGTTCATGTTGATCAGCAGAAAATTGAAGAGCATGCTAACATTGAGCATTTCGATGTTGTATGGCTCGATGAGAGACCTCAGTCAACTTTACTCCAAGTTCCACATTATTCTGAACAAATTTTCGCTTTGGGTGGATATAATATACGCTTTTTCGAAGATCCCTTTGTTTGCGCTGATTATCTTTACAAATTACCCATAAGTTCCAAAGTAATACTTGTCACTCAAGATCAATATGCAGAAGAAATAATTAATTATACGCACTGTCTCTCTACGATCAAAGTAATCTTCGTTGTCTATCTCGTAATCCCAAGCACTGATGATCGAATTAATATATCTCCTGCATATGTGAAAGTGAGTTATTCTTTTGATGATCGAAGATGTGAACGAATTATTTGTTTAGATCAAGCATGCAAATCTAGATGAATTAGCCAATCGAATTCGTTTATTCGAAAGTCGCTTTATACGCAGTACTAAAGAATTCTTCTCCATCAATATTTTCAAAGCAAATCAAGCATTAGAACGTTCTTCAACCGAAATCAATGGACGATTTCTCTTCACTCAATTACTTCTTGATATTTTTCTTCGAATGGAGCCAAAACTTAACGATAAAGATGAATTGATTGTTCGATGTACCGAGTTTTTTGCCAATAATGCAGAAGAATTGAAAAAAGTGGAAAAGTTTCATCTGGAATACAAATCCAATAAAGTCTTTGAATGGTACACAAAAGAAACGTTTGTTTATCATCTGCTAAATGAAGCTCTTCGTACTCAAAATATTGATTTGCTCTTTCTCTTTCGGTTCATATTACAAGATATGAAAAATCAGCTGATGCTTTATCAAGAACAATTACCTGTCCATGTTTATCGAGCTCAACGCCTTTCAAAAGACGAATGGAAACAACTGTCCGAAGCTAAAAATCATTACATTTCAATGAATTCATTTCTTTCAACTAGCCTTAAACCAAGTGTTGCCGATCTTTACCTTAATCAAAATACTTGTGACGGTGAAGTGAATATATTGTTTGAAATAAATGCTGATCCGACGCTTCGTGGCGGTGTATTACCCTTCGCTAATATATCAAGATTTAGTCAATTTCCAGAAGAAGAGGAAGTACTCTTTATGGCTGGCAGTGTCTTTCATATTACGGACGTTATTAGTGGGGATCCATTCTCAACAGTGAAAATGGAGCTTTGTAGTAAAGAAGAGAACGATTTGGAACCACTTTTTGAAACATTACGTATTGAATATGGTGGCGAACAAGTTGGAAAAGACAAGGAAGCAAGTTTGAACTCATTTGCCATTGTTCTATTCAATATGGAAAGATTTGACATAGCAGACAGATTTTTTCGTCGAATCTATTATGAATCTTCTAATAGTGATTCAAACCGTGCGCGCTACTCTATGAACATTGGCAATGTCGCTTTACATACAGGTCGATATGAAGAAAGTGCTCAATGGTATGATCGAGCACTTAAACTCTGTGAAAATCATCAATTCACTGATCACCCACTTGAGGCTAACATTTATTTAGTTCGAGGAAATTTATATAGCAAGCAATATAGGCGAAAACGAGCTCTCGATTCATACAATAAGGCACTGACCATCTATAGAAAAAACTTTGGTGAAAATCATCCGAGAATTGCCATGTGCTACTCAAACATGGCTGGTCTTTTTCAACGCCGAAAGCACTATTTAACAGCGGTCAAATATCATGAGAGAGCTTTAAATGTGGCTATTCATACATTACCAGCAATACATCCGGATCTGGTCGATTACCATCTAAATCTCGCAAACCTCTTACTTCAACTTCGGCATCAAGACCTGCCGCGAGCACTCAATCATAACGAAAAAGCATTGGAAATTGCACAAAAGTCTATTCCAATCGAACATCCGACTTTTGCCAGAATCTATTCAACAATGGGACAAATCTACGAATTCATGAAAGACTTTGAACATTCGACATATTGGTACGACAAACTTTATGCTTTTGGAGGCATTCAAACTAATGATGTTCATATTCAGCGAATATGGAATAAAAGAATAGAGTTTACCTGTATTCGATGTCATCGACGTGTGTGGATCTATCGTCCTTTTCAATTCATGAAAGATACGAGATTCAACTGTCTTGTATTTCATGACTTCGGTAATTTTCTTTTCAATACTAAACGATATTTTTGTCACTATTAAGCAAATTCCATATTTATACCTTGAAACAACTTTTACTAAAATTCAAGTACAACACAAGTTGTGATCATTTTCTGTTCTCTTTTTGATGACTAAGCAGAGGGGTGTGTGGGTGTGGGATGTGGGTG